ACATTATAAGTACCCAAAGAAGCTATATATATAAAAAACCGGATACAAATAGGTGTTTTGCGAAATTGAGAGCAATTTCAAATCTGTTCAGTTTATTTTGATACACCCTGTAGATCCATGAATGAAATTAATTCAAAATTTAGACTATAAATAGACATTGAATAAATATTTGAAATCTTACGTTCAACATTTCTTTTGTCTGTTTGAAAACTACTGTGTCTACTAAGTTACTAATGATAGTTTAAAGATAAAGAGCAGAGCCCAGCAAAAAAATTTAAAGCCAAACATATTGGCTTTAAAGTTATTTGCTGGGCTCTGCTCTTTATCTTTAAACTAAGGTTTCCGCCTGGTGTATCAATTGCCACAGTTTTAAAGTTACTAATGATTAAAGGTAAAGTAATACGAGCAACAAAATTGTAGGTACTTGTAATAGAATCTGATTTCAACGCACGTTAATTGGAAATTTTTATCAATGTTGTCTCGTTGCAACTTACATGCGGACATTACAATTAACATGCGTTGAAATGAGATTTTATTGCAAGTTGCTGCAATTTCGTTGCTCGTATTACTTTACCTTAAAAACCTCGGGCAACAATGGTCAGTTATTAAGTCTGGATTGTTTTTAATTCAAATGTTTCTTGAAACTTCCGAAGGACCATTCTGACGGCCAAGTTTCATTTCAAAGTGTCCGAACTACCAATTATGACTATATCAATTATTACCAACATTAAAGTTCAATAAAGTCGACAAGAGAGAAATACCATTGCTTTTTCACGTAAAACATGAATAGAACATCCTTCTGGAAGATTCTGTTTTGTCAGCCATATTTGAGCTTTTCCAGCAATCCGCAACCATTCATCTCTGAAATTTGAATGTCGAAGTTATAGATAAATCAAGACAATCACTGTTGCCCAGATTGTCAAATAGCGCCCAGAAAGGGGCAAAAAAGTAAGGCCTTTCGTCAATTTTTGAAAAGGGGGGATGGAAAAAAGTAACGGTATAAACTATAGCCTTTTCGCGCATTTTTAGCCATTTTTTTCGTTTTTGAAAAAGAGGCAAAAAAATAGAAAAAGTGGCTGAAAATGGACGAAAAGTTTAAGGCTATAATAGCCTTACTTTTTTGCCCTAGCTTTTTCAAGAGTGAAAAGGGTTCAAATAATCTTAGCAAATTTGACATTTAAACTCATCCCTTAAGCTTTTAGACCGCGCGTAAGAAGGGCTCTGGGTACGAGAATGCCATTGGAATCATAGAGATTATAAATAACACTAGAGGAGGCATTGTAATCTTAATTCAGTCAAAAAAAGGGAACGCGGCTATTGGGGGGCAAATTTAAGTCCCGGATGTGTATTCGTGTTTCCATTGGTGACGAGTTTCAAATCAGCCAATCAGAGCACGATTTTATATCCGGGACTTGAATTTGTACTCCTCTAGTGTTATTTATAATCATAGATATAGGAGACCTCCTATATCTATGTTTATAATCTCTATGATTGGAATCAGACCCCCCCTGTCATTTTAAAATAGTTCGGAATTTGTCGACTTGCATCGTACAGCGCCGAGATCCCGACGGAGTGCCGGGCATTTCCGAATTTTAAATTTTTTTAGTTTTTTTACCGCGTGATGAAGAAGAAGCAAGAAAGAAAAATGGAGGACACTTTTTTATCAAATTTACCCTTATTGGAAGGTAATATGCCTTATTTAATATCAATCTTTGTAGTAGAGTACTTAGATTACCAATATAGATGGAAATTTAGGACATCGAGCCCGAATTTAATGCGATTATGTCGGCATAAAGTTTGTGCTTCTGCTTTCCACGTGGTTCGCTTTATGGGCGATTGTCGAACTTTAAACCGTGTTTTAATTCATAATTATTGGCCATCAAGTGAGTAAAAAGACTAACAAAGATCTAGAATTGTTTTAGTTGTCGAAATAAATTGTTATCCGAGTTCTTGAAGAAAATTTTTATATGGAATGCTGTATACAGTTCTATTGAGGCGCTTGGTACAAGCTGGTGAAATAGAAATATTCGTCCCACAATTTCAATCTTGCGACAAAATATTTTAGCAATATGGTGTTTTTGTTCGTTTATATGAAAAAAGGCCTTGCTTTTCAAAATAAAACTAAGAAGTGAAAATACCAATAAGGCAAAATCCAGAATTGTGTTTCTTGACCTCACTGCAGGCTGGTGTAAATTTTGATAGTGAAAAGCTAGGAGGTGTGGTCTTCGGTAGCTGGGGCTTCTCGGTAAGCTGCCTAGTGGTTAGAAAAGAAGATTGTTCTTTTGAACCACATCTACTCCAGGCTCAAAAATATGCACCAGTAGCAGTGTAAAGCCTTTTTTGACATGTGCTGGCAACCACATCTAGAAGAAAATGCAGAGCCAAATAGGGTTGGCTGGAAAACCAGAAGCACCGGATATTGTTTTGTTTCAGGCTCTGAGGAGGAAGTTAATCCCCCTTAGGCCAAAAAAAAATATGTGGGTTTCCGGTTTCTTCCTATAAAAACTTAGGTAGGGTAGGTCGGTTTTAATATTTTTTTTAAACTTTTTTTTTCATTTTCTGAACAAGCGGACACCATTTTGTTTAGTCAGTGCTTTCACATGCAAAGATAAATTTCCCTAATATTGCCTCAAATTTTAATTTTCCACAAACTTTTTCCTCTAAGTGGAAACTGGAAACACTTACAAACATGATCCAATAGAAAAGTTTAGGGTCAGGATTTAGACGTCCAAAAGCTAGGTAGGGTCAGGAAACCCACATATTTTTTTGGCTTTACCCCCCTTCTGATGTCCTAATACACTTACAATTATCAGAAACAATTTTTTCTCCCCTCCCCCCTGGACAGCAAAAATTTCCTCTGGGGTGGGAGTGTGGATCTTTTCTGGAATGACCCATTTACACGCTACGATTTGCCATGTACGATTTGTATTCTGGTGTATTAAAATGAGTGCTGGCACCATAGTTCATTGCCATGTCGTTAAAAAGAAATTTCAAATGCAGTAGAATTTAAATAATGATCAAGGTCAGACTAGTGTTAAGCTTTCGTTTGTTCTCACACCGAGAAAGTGCCTATGAAGTATATATGGGGTGAGGTATTAATTGGGACGTAAGTGCTGTTCCACATTCCAGTCACGTGTGTTGTCTTGTAGCTAATTGTTATGTATATTGTTTATCAGTGTCATTGTAAATATTTGTGACAAATTTAATAATAATAGCCAGTTTATGTGTGTTTACTTAATGAAATACGCCAGAAATTGTACACTATTAATCGCAGCGTGCAAACATAGATTAACCAAACTATTCAAACCCTCAGTAAAATTCTCATAAATTTTTGTAGATGTACAATGCAAGAATTAGATCATCAAAGGTTCCAAGAATATCGCAAGACCTCATGATTATGAAAAAAAGACACATTCCAAGATCCTGAGGTACAGTAAATGATTTCTCTTCTAATTATTTCTAACCTTCTCCTTGTATTTCTTGGATAATTGTGTTTGTAATTATTAATTTGTTTCATGTTCTCAATAGTGAGTTTTCTAAATTTTCTAGATGTGTGTTGCAATTTCAAAGAATGTCTCAAGTTGTTGGCTGAAGTGTTTTTGATCACAAAAATGAACACTGTCATTGGAAAGTATATAAAAGGTCTTCATATTTTCTTATCTTATATGAAATGTTTTGAACATTATGTGATTGCTTGTGATCAGTAGTCCAATAATCCCAGCAGAATTTTGCAAAAATAACATTACCATGCTACTTATGACACAAAATACAACAAAATAATAAACACAATCTTTACTTACAATTTTGCGGTCCCTCAATTACTTGATTAAGTTTTGTGTTGTCACTGATCACAGAAAGTCTATCATTTTCAAAGCATATTATAAGCATTTTTATGAGCAAACCAGAAAATGACAAACTGTGTTTTGAAAAATTTTGTTGAATTAACAGTGATGATTCGGTTTGGACATGCATTTTTTCTGTTTGGCATAATAGCTAAATTATAAAATACAGAATATATAAATTTGTGTTTATCGGTGTTCTATCTGAGAACATAGTTGTTTCTACATATTTCCAAAGTTTTGTCGAATATAAAAAATGAAAAGTTTGTCAGTATTTGGCTTTGTTACATCAGTTAAACGTTGAGAAGATTGAGGTGGTTTTTAAACTTATGTTCCATCTCAATCTTCTCTTTGTTTAAGTGGACTTTTAGTGGTTGTTGAAAGTTTGGAAAGTTAATCTGAAAATCACAATATGTTTCTTTCAATGTTGATTATGGATGTTATTTCGAGTCGTCAAATATTGAATCTTACAAAAAGCAAATAGTGATCAATTGAAGATCAATTCCTGGACATAAATAAAATGGATTTGTTGAGGAACAAGGCGGTTCTATACAGTACTGACTTATAGGAGGGTTGTGTACTTCAGTTGGGGTTTTTTATTCTTGTGCCAACCATATTGTGGTTTTCAACAAAGTTTTAATTTCGGAACAAACCTTGTGATTTTTTAAAACTTTCCCAACTTTAAAACAAACACTGCCTTTATATTTCATTACAAAGTGGAACTTATTTGAATAAGGATGAACTGAAGCTCAGCAAACTGTACTTAATAATTTTGGGGGTTAATGTGAGATGGAGAAAATAAAAGAAAATTGATTCTCGTGCATGGCAAGGAAAACCACAACCAGACTACAGGATGATTTTCTTTGGAATATGTTTTGTATTATAGGGAATGAAAAACAATCAGCATTCAAATGTATATATCAATTGTTTCATCAAGCAATCCAAAAATTGGAATATTGAGGCTGAAGATAAGATCGACAGTTCTTTGTGCTATGTGTTCATCAATGCATAATTTGATAAGATTTGAATCAAAATTCAAGCATGGAATTAAATTAACCATATTTTTAGTATTCCTCAAATGCAATGACTGAGATGCTCTTTATGTACCAAATTTTATAGTCTGATTAAAAAGTTCCAGATTTTAAAAATTAAAATTCTATTTTCATTTAAATAATCTGACCTACAATCAACATTTAAGTGTGAAATTTTTTAAGCTTGAATTTCATATTTTATTTCAAATCAGATTCAATTAATTTTGCAACTTTGGTTTGGAATACTGAGATCAGTGAGATGAGAATTTTATTGATAATTTTTATTGGCTGGTTGTGTTTAATAATTGTTTGGCAATTAAAATTAATTAATTTGTTAGTTTAATTTCTATGTTACATGTATTTCTTTTCTTCAGTTCAACATTATTTTCAAATAGTTCCACTTTGTAATGGTGTGTTATAATAGTCGTAATAATAATATAAGCAAACAGGTTTACATTGGCACTCGAACATGGTCTTTTCAACGAGTACCGGTATGTAAAGGTAAGTTTATACTTCAAAAAGGTCTGTTTTTAACCTGACAACAATTCTGTCCAAAATTGACCAAAACTCAATCTTTCAGTGAAATTTCATATGTTAAATCGACAACAGCTACTACTGTATATGTCTTTTGATGCTTGTGTTTGGTATGCTTTAAAAATATTAGTTGATACTAAAAAATGATGAAAATGCATTATAATATTTTTTGTTGAGAGAGATTCTAAAGATTGTATGGAACTGGTTATTCCTTGTGAGGACTTGAGCAAAACTGTTTTTGTCTACTTTTGAGTTAACAAAGTATACCCAAAACCTTACACAAAACAATCTGCTCTTTTTCAATTGAAAATTTCCTCTTGGTTTTCACCAATATAAATAAGAGTGTAAAATAATAAGAAAATATTTTATGAACATTTGAAAGTTTAGTTCAACCATATTTTGTGTGTTTCTGGACATGGTCTCTACATGTTTTGCATCAACAATATTTCCTGAAGTGTTTTTAAAAATATAATAATAGGCCTATAAAACAGGACAACTTTTCCCTAAGTGAAATTTAGGAGATATTTTTTTGTAAAATAGTGAATCAATGTGTATTATTTTATTGCATTTATCGAAGATGATAAATGTACCATTTTCATAAGCAAAGCAAATTGAAACTGAATTTTTGTTTGAAAAATCAATCGCAATTGGAGAAATAACATTCTTTTAAAATTTTGTTGAACTGCATTTTCATCACTTGAATTATTGTAACATTATATATAATCAATTCAAAGTTGTCAGGTTAACAACGACGCTCAAATATATATGGCTCTGAAAGACCGCAGGATAATTTCAAATTCTTAAATATTTCTTGAACGAAATGTTTTTTGCACTTGAAAGAAATGTTCTTATATATATGTTCAATTGAGTATGGAACCAATGATTTAATCGTAATGTTTCGATGTTTAAAAATATCATTTTTGAGTTTACTGAAGTATGCTGTCAATGCATTGTCAAAATGTTAAGGTACTTTGAGGAAATTAATTTGCTTCGAGCAATGCCAATGGCAATGCAATTTGTTGTCAACCACAATAGACCTTATGCGGCATAATGACGTCACAAGGCTTGATGCCTGCGAGGAATGCTGGTCTTAATAGTCATCGCCCTGGAAAATTTTGATAGTGGTCATTTTGAATTGTTTGATCTTACTGGGCGATGACTACTAAGACCAGCGTTCCTCGTGGGCATCAAGGGCACCGGGCCTTTTGACGTCATTATGCATATGGTCTATTTCTTGCCAACCACTTGACAACTGATCTCACATTACATCGAATGGACTTCTCTTAGCATCAAAACATCGCGATAAAATCATTATTTTCCATACTCAAGTGAACATTTTGGTCACTTTACCAAAAACAGTTTTATTCAAAAAAGTAAAAGCATGTTCGATTTACTTCGTCTTTGAGCCATATATTTTCTTTGTAAAACAACCTGGTGTTACGCTTTTGATTTCTCCGTCACAGTTGTTTTACAATATTTATTTTGAAGTATAAACATTTATCTTGAAAAGACCAGGTTCTCTTGTTTCCTCAAGAATTAACTTTTTAATGTTAATTCGCGGGCAAACAAGTCTTTTAATGTTGTGTTTTCACTTGTGCTTATTCACTTGTGATGAACACAATGTTAATTGTTCTCTTTGTGCCATGTTCTGTTTTCTTCTATTGTTATTTAAATAAGTGTGCAGTGGTTGTTCTCTTTTTATTGTTATTCAATTTGTAATTACAATTCTTTTCAATAAATTGTTCATTAATTATACAAGAGACTCCTTTTTAATTAAAAATTCAATTCCCATGGGAATTGAAAAAAAAAATAAAAAAAATCCCCCTACCCCGGCCGGCTCCCCAAGTGCCACCTCTACTTCAAGCAGAAGTACTTCTACTACATAGTAAAAGTACTTCTACTCAAAGTAGAAGTAGCACTCGGAGAGCCAGCCGGGGTAGCGGGGCGAAGAGAAGACCAACCTTGCAAATGCAAAATAATGCAAATTGCTAAGTCGATCTTCTCTTGAGAGCAGCCACGCGCATACCTAGCAAATGTAAATCAACAAGCATTAGTAACAAATACTCGACATGCAAATTTTGAATCCCATGGTCGAAATGACAAGTGCCCCCCACTGATTCCTACCAACTGCCTACCTGCCTCAATCCTAAGCTGTCTGCCTCGGTCCTAAGCTGTCTGCCTCGGTCCTAAGCTGTCTGCCTCGGTCCTAAGCTACCTGCATTCCATTCGTAACTTCCCCTTTCCTCACCATCACACAGACACTCACAACTGCCCAACCTGCCACCAACCCGAACTGCCCACCCTTAAAACTGAAGGAATTAATATTTTGATAAAATATTCAGAATTAATTTAATTAATTGAATATTTTAGACCAAACGTAAACAGATAAATTAAAGGTTGACGATCAGAAGAAAAGCCGCGTATACAAACAGGTCAGTTTCTTACTTGCCTCTATACATGAAATTTACATAGAAAAATATACAAAACCTCGAAACCCGGATTTTCCTTCTATGTATGCTTTACTATAATTTTCGTTTAATTAAAGAAAACTCGACAAATTTTGCTGATATTATGAAATTAGTCCTTTTGTTCAGAAAAGATATATTTTCTCTTTAAATATGCTCTCAAAATTTTAATTCCTTTAGTTTAGCCTAACCCCATGCATCCTATACACACGGCGCACACTCTCGCACTCCATACATTTAGCTAATAAATTACGTTATAAACAAAAAAAGCAAAATAAAAAGATAAATTACGTTATCACTAGCTATCCTATAACCCACTTAGACTGAGTTTTGGATTCTGGTTCGAAACGTAAAATCTTAACTGAAAGGGCATGGGCTTGAGTTTTGTTAACTGGTCCGAAATAAATACAAACCTTAAACTTACCTAAACCAAAGGCTCGATTAAATAAGCATGAGAATGCATAGAATTATTTTAAAAACTTTTTCATAAGAATTTAAAATCGAAACGAAATTAAAATTACAATGTCGCTAAACTGGTCGCTAATTTAGTGAGCATAAATATAGTACTGTTTATCTATATAGTTCAAACAGATCGAAAGAGACTTAACCGCAATTCTCATACTTATTTAACCGGAACGCCTTGTTGATCATTTGCATGGCACGTCGCAGCTGCTCTCAAACCACTTCCGTAATTTGCTTTAACGCGCACAAACATGGCTTGATTGTTCCATTGTTCCTGCTTACAAGTAACAAGATACTTATCATATTTAATCAAAGAGGATTCATTATAAAGTCAGTTTTCCACAATGAAATCAACATCTACATGAAAACAAAGCATAATATATTCCCCTGGGAATTGAAAAATATGGAAAAAAATAAAATTGCAAAATACCTTTTGCGCAAAATAAAAAAATTAGCATAAAAACCAGGGCGCCTATACAGGGTGTCTAAAAAAAACCCAAAATCATTGAAATTGACGTATTGTTCGATATTCAATGCCCTAGCACTAAGTTAATCCCACGAGTGCATAAAAGATTGACATAACTGCTATAATGAATGGTAATACTCAGCGTAAACTTGTTATGTCAGGCATAAAGTACTAAACCCACGAATGCATATTACGCATATTACAATTTACGAAGCATTTTTAAATTCCCATGAGCAAACAAACGTTCACTTTACAAAGATATTTTAATTTTTTAAAACAAATTAATCACCCTGTCAAAATCCTTTGTGTTACGGCATTGAAATTCGAACAATACGTAATTTCAATGATTTTGTTGTTTTTTGAGACACCCTGTATATATAAGCGCCCTGATAAAAACAGAGTATAGTATATTCCCATGGGAATTAAACACACGAAAAATAAATCCACTCCAATTCTTAATTTTTAACGCTTGAAATGGAGTTGCTTGTTTTATCATATGTTGATTTCATTGCGAATACAAGACTTAGGGACCGCATCTCACAGTTATTTTATTATCAACACCAACTGACGATGAAAAAGAGGAAATACTTGGTGCTAGATTCCAAGCCATGTTCATCTTACATTAACCTAAGGATTAATATTTTGTTTTTAGAAAAGACTACAATCGAAAATATTTCAGGCAAGATTTCGTACTTTAAGGTATTGTTGCTTCGATTTTTTTTATACAAACAGTTCTCTACTATCAATTTTGGAAACTTTTTTGTTGTTTTAAAAAAAATTGTGAAATGATACGTCACCATATTCCATAATCGAGTCTTCTAGCTCTTCGCAAGAACAGTGCGTTGTCGCGTTTTTGAAAGTTTATCCAAACGTTTTACCTGATTTTCAGGGCAGTTATTCCCATACTCCGAAAATTGGAAAACAAAGTCGAAAAATTCGCCAAACTCGTAGCATGTTTAGTTTCAGAGAGAAAATCATTGTATTCACTTGAATCCCCTTCGACCTTTAAATAAGTATTTTGTCTTTAACTAACTTACATTGGTAAAATTTTTCATATTTGCAATGTTGTGGTTTCCGATTGTTGCGAATCGCCATTCTTTTCTCGGCTCCATGCCATTCGTGAGTGGCTCTTTTTGGTCTTTTCATCATCTCTTTTCATCACATCAACGTTTCATCACATCACCTTTTGAAATTAAAAAAGTATCCATGAGTCCATGAAGTAGGATTCGATCATGAGTTATATTTGGTAGAGAAGAACCCACTATTAATATTATAATATTACACTAATAATAATATTAGTGGTAATATTACTTGATCATTTGAAACATGAAATATTGATGTATATATAATTAATAATGTCGATGATAGCCTAGACCTAGCCCTTTACACGGCAGATTTTGGTCAATTTTGGGCTTGCATTTGGTAAGTATGACGTCACACGCTTTCGCCCATCCTCCGCTCCGCCTCCAAGACACGTGGGTCCCAGTCTTCTCGTGTGAAAAAGCGCCGAAATTTAAAATAGAAGGTCAAGGTGTAAGCTGAAATAGAGTGTTTCATGTGACGTCACGGCAACCATGTTGGAGGATAATATCCAGTGGGCGCTAAGGGGTTGGACGAAATTGTGTTGCCATCATACGATCAGCTATTACGTCTTGTTCAAATGACAAAAAGGTAAGAATTTTGTCTGCGAATGCGTCAAAACTAGCGCGGTGAACAGATAGGAGACCTGGGGAGGATAATTATCACATTTGATTTTTGAGCGTTTTATTTGTTTTTTGGCCTAGTTTTTCTACTGAAAAAAAAAATTTATTTAATGCTTCGTTGGGAAGGAGGGAAAGGTATACGAAAGTTCGGAAACAAAAATGTATAAAAATCAAGCTTTTACGTAACTTTAGCCTATAGGTCGGGAATGGTCGGTTTCCGACGCAAAATCGCGAATTTTCCTATCAAAAATATACATTGACTAGTGAACGAAGAAAGGTCCAGTACATGTTTGCGAATACGAAGTTGCAAATCTACTATTCACCAGAAAAGAACAGTTAATTAAGAACTCGAAAACTTTTAAAATAATTTTTCGAATGCGCCTAAATTATTGAGCAGCGCGGACAAAATTCCTGAATTCCCAAACAAAGCGAAATAATGATAGTGCATGATACTTAAATATCGTACAGAATTATAGTTGTTGGTATACGCATTTGTACGGTTGCGAGTGCAATTTGAAAAAAAAATACACGAGTGAGTTATTCAAAGACGATCGAAATTGCATGAGTCTGAAGTACGAGTGCAATTTGAAGTGTTTAAAAACTCACGAGTGTATGTTTTCCAAATTGCATGAGAAACCATACTATTACTTTTTATAATATACATGAAAAAGTTATGTAGAAGCAAATTCATGGTCACTTCGATTCCAGGCACGAAACATTAGAAGTAAATCATTTACCCACCGACCCACTCAAACGACCCAAGCAGTCAAAATGTGTTTTATTTTGCTTTTTTCGAAATATTTCGTTTTGGCCCTGTATTTCTTTTTGGCACTGTAATTCAATCAGTAAATAATGTAATAAGTTTTTTCATGTATATTTAAATATTTGGTTTGAAAAAATACTTAAATTATTGCATAAGCATTGCACCAGCAAAACTTACATTCACTGTATCTTTGCATCGTCATTGCTTCTGTTTGTACGTTGGTCACGATTCTTCATTTCTGTTGATGATCCATCATGGTCCGCTCAATGTACAGTAAATCACCATAAAAAGGGAAACAATTCTGTTAAGAAGCGCAACGATAGGACTTGCATGCAAATGGTTTGAACGCTAAATTTGACTTAAGTTGTAAATAAACGATACGACTTGCATGCAAATGCGAGAATGAGAGTGATTATAGTACACATATGAAATGCGGTGGCATACCTAATGAGTAATGCATAAACAATAAATAGCATTCTCTTAATTGTGTAGAACATAAATAACAGTGACATATCATACATTTTCTATCATCTTTGGATAGTTGTGGCTTCTTTCGGTCGTCATTCTGTCGACGTCTTCTACCACTTTCTCATCTGCTTGTTCCTCTTTGCTCTCGCTTGAATTGTGTCGTCCAGTTCTTGCCTTCATATCACTCTACCTAAAAATATGCAATAAACATTTTAGGAAAAAATTTTAAAAGAATGGTAGGAGAAAATTTTACGATGTATGTTAGAGTTTTTGAACAATTGTTACTTGTTGAAAAACAACTAGTATCATAGCAACCCAGAAAATATATGTATTCACTTAAAAATGCGTTACAGTTAATTAAAAACATTTAAAAATGCGCATAAAGTTCGCCTGGCTCATCCTCGTACCCAGGGTTTCTTTGGGTGGAACGTCCTTGCGACGGAGGTTGCGCCTGCAGACTCGCATGATTACGTCATTGTATTGTCATATATAGAGGATATTACACGGCGGCGCGAAGATATGACTTTTATCTCCGAGTGGTGAAAACAATATTTTACGAACGAGCGCAGCGAGTGAGTAAAATATTGTTTTTAACACGAGAAGATGAAAGTCATATCTTCAAGCCACCGTGTAATGTAGTGTTTATTATATAGTCCCAAGCACAAAATTGTATCAATACTAAAAGTCACATGATCGATATCTTCACTAGTGAAGATATGGAAAATATGTTACTGTGTATTTCTCACTATCTCACTCTCTACTATATAATAAAGTATAATATCCTGAGGCTGGAAACTCTTTCACAAAATACATTTACGCAACATGTTGAAGCACAAAATTAACACAAATTTCTGAGAGCAAATTTCTTGATACTTTTTACAGTTGAAAAAAGTTTAGCAGCGTTTAAATTCCTTCATTAAAAAGTTCGTTTTCATCGAAATTTTGCTGTAGACAGGCGGGGTATGCAAATTGCTGGACAAATGTCATCATCGGAAAATCCATCATCTTTTATTGGCTGCTGAAAAATCGGAAAATTCCGAAGAAAGTTCATCGACTGCAGTATATTATACTCGGAATTTTTCGATTGTTCAGCAGCCAATAAGAAATAAGCCGATGGTTTTTCCGATGATCGCATTAGACCTTATGCATAATGACGTCACAAGGCTTCATGCCCGCGAGGAATGCTGGGTCTTTATAGTAGTCATCGCCCGGGAAAATTAACAATTCAAAATGGCCACTACCAGCATTTATCGCGGGCATTAAAACTTGTGACGTCATTATGCATGACCGTCTATTTGCATCCCGACTATATCTACAGCAAAATTCCGATGAAAACTAACTTTTTATTCAACAAATTTAAGCACTTCTAAACTTTTTCAACTCTAAAAAGTATAAATAAATTTAGAAAATATATCCAAAGTGTTTTGTATATTTGTTTTGCTTCGGAAACTTGCGTTGCTTTTGTTGTATCAAGCGATCGTATTAATGTGTGTAAATGTAATTTGTGAAATAGTTGCCAGCCTTATAGGATGTTACACTATGTGAAAATACAATGACGTAACCGTTCGAGTCTGCATACATAATGAGCTACACAATAAAGCGCTAGATCAATGTCAGACGAACTTTATGCGCATTTTAAAGCGAATACATATATTTGCTGGGTTCTTTCAACCATCAACTTCTAAAGTCAGGTGCAATGTATCGCCTAAATTAATTTACCAGAGAAAAGAAAACAACTCACCATCTTTTGCTGTTCAGTTTCTTTAGCCATGGTTTATCTTGGCTTTGATATAGATTCACTATAGGGAATTAAAAAATAGGTGATTAATTTTTAGATATATTAAATACAATAGCGACATTTTAGAGATAAATTAAGCCTGTCTTAGGGGGACTTGTAATATAATTTCGGAGGGGGTGTGAACTTTTTTCGAAGTATTTCGTTTTGCCCCTGTATTTCTTTTTTGGCACTGTACTTCAATCAGTATCGAGAACTTTTTTCATGTGTATTTAAATATATGGTTTATTTACTTAAATTATTGCACCAGCAATACCTACATTTACTGTATCTTTGCATCGTCATTGCTTCTGTTTGTACGTTGGTCGCGGTTCTTCAATTCTCTTAATTGTGTAGAACATAAATGAAGTGACATATCGTACATTTGCTATCATCTTTGGATAGTTGTGGCTTCTTTTGGTCGTCATTCTGTCGACGTCTTCTACCACTTTCTCATCTGCTTGTTCCTCTTTGCTCTCGCTTGAATTGTGTCGTCCAGTTGTTGCCTTCATATCACTCCACCTAAAAATATGCAATAAAAATTTTAGGAAAAAATAAAAGAACGGCAAGAGAAAATTTTACGATATTGGGCAGACTTTTGAACAATTGTTACTTGTTGAAAAGCAACTATATCATAGGCAACCCAGAAAATATATGTATTCACTTAAAAATGCGTTACAGTTAATTAAAAACATTTAAAAATGCGCATAAAGTTCGCCTGGCTCATCCTCGTACCCAGGGTCTCTTTGGGTGGAACGTCCCTGCGACGGAGGTTGCGCCTGCAGACTCGCATGATTACGTCATTGTATTGTCACATAGTATAATATCCTGAGGCTGGCAACTCTTTCACCCAATACATTTACGCAACATATTGAAGCAACAAAAGTAACGCAAATTTCTGAGAGCAAATTTCTTCATACTTTTTAGAGTTGAAAAAAGTTTATAGCAGTGCTTAAATTTCTTCATTAAAAAGTTAGTTTCATCTAAATTTTGCTATAGACAGGCGGGGTATGCAAATTGCTGGACAAATGTCGTCATCGGAAAATCCATCGGCTCATTTCTTATTGGCTGCTGAAAAATCGGAAAATTCCGAAGAAAGTTCATTTACTGCAATATATTATACTCGGAATTTTCCGATTGTTCAGCAGCCAATAAGAAATAAGCCGATGGTTTTTCCGATGATCGCATTAGACCTTATGCATAATGACGTCCCAAGGCTTCATGCCCGCGAGGAATGCTGGGTCTTTATAGTAGTCATCGCCCGGGAAAATTAAACAATTCAAAATGGCCACTATCAGCATTTATCGCGGGCATCAAAACTTGTGACGTCATTATGCATGACCGTCTATTTGCATCCCGACTGTATCTACAGCAAAATTTCGATGAAAAGTAACTTTTTTTCAACAAATTTAAGCACTTCTAAACTTTTTCAACTCTAAAAAGTATAAATAAATTTAGAAAATATATCCAAAGTGTTTTGTATATTTGTTTTGCTTCGGAAACTTGCGTTGCTTTTGTTGTATCAAGCGATCGTATTAATGTGTGTAAATGTAATTTGTGAAATAGTTGCCAGCCTTATAGGATGTTACACTATGTGACAATACAATGACGTAACCGTGCGAGTCTGCATACATAATGAGCTACACAATAAAGTGCTAGATCAATGTCAGACGAACTTTATGCGCATTTTTGCTGGGTTCTTTCAACCATCAACTTCTAAAGTCAGGTGCAATATATCGCCTAAATTAATTTACCAGAGAAAAGAAAACAACTCACCATCTTTTGCTGTTCAGTTTCTTTAGCCATGGTTTATCTTAGCTTTGATATAGATTCACTATAGGGAATTAAAAAATAGGTGATTAATTTTTAGATATATTAAATACAATAGCGATATTTTACAGATAAATTAAGGCTGTCTTGTAATGGGGACTTGTAATATAATTTCTGGGGGTGTTTGTGAATTTTTTATCGAACAGGGTTATATTTAGCAGAAAATTTGCAATGGAATACTACTGTATCATTTGATAATAATCATCATGTTGTGTATTGAAATGTACGCAAAGAACGAATTTTTAGGTAACATTTTTTAAGAAAAATAGGATAAAATATTAAATGAGTTAGTAAAAAGTAAAATAAGTAAAGCATAATAGCTTTATACATTAAGAGTAGTTATATAATAACTTACAGAGTAACACATATAACATATTGTTGACTTTAAACACCATTGAAGCAGTTTCGTTCCATTTTCTTGATTGGAGAAGAAGACGTCCGCCATCTTGTCTTTGCCCACCATGATTTAACTTCGAAATTTCTCAATAATTTCTTCATCATTCCTCTTCCAATTTGGCCCAAAATTTAACAAAACGTCCATTATGGTCTGGTCGCAATTTCTGTAGCATTTAATTGACTTATTTCTTTTTATTTTGGCAGAAAATAAAGAATTTTGGCGTGGTTTTCAGATGTTTCGTTCCTCGAAGCCATGCTGTAACTGACGTCACAAAGCATTGATTCATGGTATATATATCCCGTATGTACAAAATTGAAGTTTCTGTATTCCTGTTTACGAAGCTTTAAAGCTTAATTTCTATCTTAAATTGAGGGTTTTTAGCCACAACTTTCAACTCAGATATTTCTTATACTTCTTTCTTTTATATTTCATTTTTTATTTCGCTCAAAAAACGCTCCTGAAGAGCGTTTGGGCGTGTTTTTTTTATTTGCATGCTAATGAGTGCGGAAAGACATGTCCGATTTGTCGGTTGTGTTTAACTTTTCCTCCGTGGCCGAATGGTAACGGCAACTGTATTGGGAAAAGCCACGCCCTTTGGCGTTTGCTCTGGATCGTCCCTCGCTTGGGACAACACAGGGACGAACCTAAAGGGTGTGAGTGACTCTCGAAAACAGTTGCCGGTACCGATAGGCTACTGAAGGAACGTTTAAACCTGCAGTAAATTTCTTCTACTTAATCATTTACCTTATGTCTGCCAGCCGGGGACCTGCATTTCAGGGGCCACCCAAAACAACAAGCTGCCGTGCAAGAAGGGCAATGCAAGTGTAGTGTTACACTACAACTGCACTGTCCTTCGTGCACGACAGCGAGTCGTTTTGGGCTAAACAACTAGATTTGTAGGACAAATCTAGTCGTTTTCCAAAAAACGACTAGATTTGTCCTACTATATAGGGCCGACTTCGTCGCAATGATTGTGGTGCACTATATTTTGTTGCTTCTGCGCAGTCGTATCTTGTTGAATAAAGTTGTATATGGTACTCAAAATTTGTCCTTGAAAGGACCACGTATTCTTGCGTGGTTCTGGGTTAGATTCCCAGAGCAAAATATGTTCATATATACAACTTTCTTAGCGCAACTCCATGCAAGCTATGGAGAAGCTTATGATGTAAGTTATCATGGCCGACATACCAATGACAGTAGTTTTATATGGAAGATGAAATGTATAATAAACCGCAAGGTTTGTTACTGTTACTGTACCAGGAATTGACCGAATACTGTTGTAATCACCCAGTCACAACAACGTAAAAGTTATGGCTGTTTCTTCCACATGCAACGAAGCTTTAAATAACATTATCAACAGTGTCCTCGATAGAAGTAATTTATGAGGCATTCGGTTTAAGATTCCCAGAACATGTCCGCGTATACACAGCTACAATAGTGCAACTCCGTGTATACCATTTCGCAACTTACGATACAACTTATTACGGACGATAAACTAATAATTGAGAACGAAGTGTGAATGAAGCTACAAGGTTTAATCTTTGGATAGGAGGATAAGATAATATTCCGGAGCACGTTTCGTGTGATATTTAACCGTGACAAATTACAATACTCGAGTTATCGAGCATGTGTAATATAGTCTTTAAAAGACTATACAGGTAGACTATACAGGTATAGTTAAATTTCAATATGAACACTCATTTTACTCGAAGCGTTAACTAAACGCCTCGAATAAAATGAGTGTTCATATTGAAATTTAACTACCTATATAGTATAGCTTACTTTACTTTACTTTACTTTACTTTACTTTACTTTACTTTACTTTACTTTACTTTAAAGACTCTATTATGCATCATCATCTGCATCTATATAAGCATCTAGAGTAAAACGAGTGTTCAGTTTGAAATTTAGCTATGTCCAACTTTACTTTTATACAGAGTTTGCGGTAAACGAGCTATGTCCAACTTTACTTTTATACAGAGTTTGCGGTAAACGGCCTCCGGCATATGCTCGAAAACTCAAGTATTGTAATTTGCGCCGGTTAAATATCAAACAAAACATGCTCCGAATTACTATCTTATACTTCTACCCAACGATTAAACCTTGTAGCTTCATTCACACTTCGTTCTCAAATATTAGTTTATCGTCCGTAATTAGTTGTATCGTAAGTTGCGAAATGGTATACATGGAGTTGCACTACAAGTGTTCATATTGAAATTTAACTATAGCTGTATAGTCTAGCTTTACCTTACTTTTAAAGACTATAGTACACATGCTCGATAACTCGAGTATTGTAATTTGTCACGGTTAAATATCACATGAAACGTGCTCCGGAATATTATCTTATCCTCCTATCCAAAGATTAAACCTTGTAGCTTCATTCACACTTCGTTCTCAATTATTAGTTTATCGTCCGTAATAAGTTGTATCGTAAGTTGCGAAATGGTATACACGGAGTTGCACAATTGTAGCTGTGTATACGCGGACATGCTCTGGGAATCTTAAACCGAATGCCTCATAAATTACTTCTATCGAGGACACTGTTGATAATGTTATTTAAAGCTTCGTTGCACGTGGAAGAAACAGCCATAACTTTTATGTTGTTGTGACTGGGTGATTACAACAGTATTCGGTCAATTCCTGGTACAGTAACAGTAACAAACCTTGCGGTTTATTATACATTTCATCTTCTATATAAAACTACTGTCATTGGTATGTCGGCCATGATAACTTACATCATAAGCTTCTCCATAGCTTGCATGGAGTTGCGCTAAGAAAGTTGTATATATGAACATATTTTGCTCTGGGAATCTAACCCAGAACCACGCAAGAATACGTGGTCCTTTCAAGGACAAATTTTGAGTACCATATACAACTTTATTCAACAAGATACGACTGCGCAGAAGCAACAAAATATAGTGCACCACAATCATTGCGACGAAGTCGGCCCTATATAGTAGGACAAATCTAGTCGTTTTTTGGAAAACGACTAGATTTGTCCTACAAATCTAGTTGTTTAGCCCAAAACGACTCGCTGTCGTGCACGAAGGACAGTGCAGTTGTAGTGTTACACTACACTTGCATTGCCCTTCTTGCACGGCAGCTTGTTGTTTTGGGTGGCCCCTGAAATGCAGGTCCCCGGCTGGCAGACATAAGGTAAATGATTAAGTAGAAGAAATTTACTGCAGGTTTAAACGTTCCTTCAGTAGCCTATCGGTACCGGCAACTGTTTTCGAGAGTCACTCACACCCTTTAGGTTCGTCCCTGTGTTGTCCCAAGCGAGGGACGATCCAGA